TCATAAACCAATTCTTTTAGTCCACTAAGTATTTTTATTTGGTTAATACTTGTCTAAGATGTATAATATTTACATTAACTCTCAAATATTTGGAGAATATCATTTTTATGTCAGGTGACTTCAAGATGTAGGCAATTATGACTCTCCACAAATTCTTTTTCTTTATTATTTATGAATTGCTATGCATTTTTGGAAAAGATAGTGGAGTAGTTTCCTGTTGTCTTCTCCACATGAGAACAACTGATGAGAATGCTACTTATTCTCATGGCTTGCAAGATTTGAACAAAAGCAAGTGTTTTTTTGAAAAAACAATCTTACTCAGTAACACTCTACCTCGAGTGGCTCTTACGGCTTGTACAGGGTGAACATCAGTGTAAAAAAAAAAAAAGAAGACTCATCAAAATGACCAGAATGCCTTATGCATAACTAGTTTATTTACTAGTAAAAATTTCCATCCTCAAACTTAACAACCGCGTCAACTATTTTAAAAAGAGATGAGGATAATCAATATTGAAACCACTACAAAAAGCAATAACAAATCCTTTTAGAATACTGCATTAAAAATAAGACAATAACCAAGAGACCGAATCAATAAAACAATCACCAGAAGAAGAAACCATAAAATAAACAAGTGCAGTGCAGTACATATACGGAGGGAGAAGCAGGACGATAACCTAGCCAGGGATTCTAGATGAGAAACTTATTATTTCCCATGAGAATTCCTGTATGTCAAATATTGATCAGCCAGAAAGACGTAGGCTGATAAGATGACTGGCCGCTACAACCTTAACTGACACAGAGGGACAAGCCAGGAACCAGTCCTCCAGAAGACACTGTTCATCTACAATGAGGATTAAAATATGGTATAGATAAAGCCATAATCCTATGGAGACTTTTCATCTAAGAAACTTCCTGGTTTTCCTTCACAAAGGAAACCAGAATGATGGTCAACTTATCCTTCTACATACTCTATTTGTAGTGCCATGTTTGGGGATTTTTTTTTTCTTTGCATTGTTTTGTTATTTTTGACATTTTTAATCTGCTTAAAGCTGTGCGCTGGTGAAAAATGAGTCACTGTTTGACACGAGTGTCCCTGGCATGAAATGATAACCTTTCTCATCTGCGGATCATGTAATCCTTTAATTCAACCATTCTTGTACATTTGGATTGCAAGAGATTTAAAGAATTTCTCTGTTAAGACTCTTCCATTTGTCACTTTGCTAGTGTGCTCAGAAGGCTTTTAAATATCCTTGCATTTCTTCCAGGAATCGTTCCACTTATTTTAATTTCTTGGTCTCCATTCATTTGGAGATGGTAAATTATCTATTCTTGATAACTTATCTCAAAGAAAATTTCCTTAGTTTATCATGGTTGGTACAAGGATCTTGTGGGTCCCAACTGAATCAAGGATATAAGACCCTCCCCTGAATCCATCGTATGCACCCCCACCCTGTCTACTATATCTCAATTTTCATAAGGTTGTATTCATATAAAATACAAAATTTTATTGTAACCTAATTATGTACAATTAATAGACCATATGAAATATAGGTGAACAATTCAACTAGAAAAATTTTAAATAAATACAATGTATTTAAATACAAATTTTAGTCATAATAGATCATTCCATCTTAAATAAACCAACAATGTTTTGCAACAATTTTTAACATCAACTGGAGATTTTTCTTAAAAAATTTAATAATTTTAACATTAAGGATAAAAAACAGTGAATTTTATAAAGTGTTTTTTCAAGACTTGGCATAAGCTAAACAAATTCATGGATTTTGGGGAAAAAAAAACCAGATATTACATCAAAATCTGTAAAGATTTTTCATCCTTTCTTAGCAAGTTATACTTAGTATAATTTGTGATTTATATAAATATAGATAAAAAAAAGTAAATGTTGATAAGATTATGAGGGTCACAAAGCACTGCATGGGACCCCTAATCAGGCTTCTTATCCAGTTTCGGGGCTAGTACGTACTAGCTCTGAGATTGGGAATGAGTTTTCTTGATGACTCCAAAAATATTAGAATTTCGCTATTTTGTGGCAAATATTATTGGACTCTGGACAGGAAAAAAAAAAACCTTCAAGTGATTAAGGATTATCATCAGCATGGCAACAAGAGAAAAAGTGGCTGTGGTTATAATGGCAATGATGATAACAAGATTTACTTGCTTTATAAGACGGAAAAATAAAATATCTTTATTGCTTATTCTTTTAGCAGATAATATGATAGACTGTCAATAAGCAATCACTAGACACTATGAGCAGAATATAGAAAGCAAAGATCTCTTTAGCAATGCCACAAATGTAGAAGAAACTAGAACACATTAGCTTTTTTTTTTCATGCAATGGTTAAGTATTTTGTCTTGTCAATTGTTTTAGCCAGAGTGTACATGTTGTGAATTAATATGATGTTGTTTACTTGCATTGCCATCAAAATCTGTCTTCTCTCTGTCTACCTGTCATGATTGTATATTAGATTGTGTAAGACTGCTTTTTAGAATATTTAATTATGTTTCTTTGGCAAGCTGTTTGAAGTAATGATTGCTTTTAGTCAAAAAAAGTAAAAAATAAAATAAAAAAGTGCTCAAAAAGTCAGTCTCACGTGATATTTTTGCTAGTTTTACAAATATATATTGAAAGAAGCAAACATGAAATAATTGATACTTATTTTTATTTGGCAGTCTTCTAGAATACTATTGACTTTATTTAACCCTTTATTCATCAGTGTTGCAAGATTTGATCTAAATTAACCAGACATTGCTTTCTATCTGTAAATGGTTACCTTAAAACCTTTCCTTTCAAACAGATTTAATGCCATAGTACCTAATTTGAATAAATATAGATTTTAGTAGAAGTAAGTTTCCTTCCAAAAACAGTATTTGAAAAAAGTATTTTGTATTTTAGAAATCTATCATAAAATATAGTCTGTCAACTTAGTATATTATGTTTGTCAGCATTTTTTGTGTGTAATTAGTTACATTAGTTTTGTGTGTAAATGCTGTGTATATATATAGAGAGAGAGAGAGAGAAAGAGAGAGAGAAAAAAGAAGATCCATGTCAAAATTCCAATATGAATAAAATATATCTGTGAAGATAATTTAAATAAAAGGCTAAAGGAAAACTTGACCTTACCAATGTGGCATTTCATCTCTGGAGAAACTTCTCCATATTTACCTTGATAAAGTTTGTCAAGGGATGAAGTGTATTGGTAAAGAAAAATTTTCCTTTTGTCTTTTACTTATATATAATTGAATGTGACCGGCAAGGAAAATTTTATAAGCTTTTTATTCAGTTTTTTTTTCTTGAGGATTAAGAGTGTGTAGAAACTGTCCATAGTGATTATTGTCCCAAGCATTTTAATCTAACTCCTTAGCCATGTTCAAGTGGTTTGTTGTTAACGTATTTTTGTGTTTTTATTCTAATCTGTGTCATATGGAAATAGTAGTAATTCCATGGTAGTGTTTTCAAAACACTGCTAATATGCTGTGACTAGCTTCAAAGCAACTAATGTTGAGTGTATGTCTGTATTGTTGTTTTTTTTTTTTTATAAAAAGTGCTTCCATTCATTATCTTTAAATGATCTTAGTCCTCATTAGAACAAAAAATTGTAAGAACACTAGAAAAGCTGAATAAAAACTTATCAATTTCTCATTGCTCATTACATCCAAAATATATTTGTTATATATATGTGTGTGTGTGTGTAAATTATATATATATATATATATATATATATATATATATAAGAATTAGATATTTTGAATTTTTAGTAATAAATGATAAATCTAAGGTATTTGTTAGGAACAATAACTTAAAACTTTTAACGTTTAATTCTTGGAAATAATTCATCACATCAAAAATCCACCCTATGTAAAAATAATATATATATTTATATAAAGTTCTCTTAGTTTTAGTTTATTAATAAATAATAACTAGTAACTATAATTTATTAACTAATGCTTTCAATTTCAGATGCATCTGTGATGCCCTTTTTGGATTTTACTTATACATTCTACAACACAGCTGATTGAACATGTTTATATCATTGTGGTTACTACTATCTGTTCTTGACCTGTGTTTCTGTATGGACCTTACCTACTATGTGGAGGAAGGTAAAAGTCCAGGTACCTATCTGGGGGACATAGCTTTTGATTCCCATTTGATGGACAGTATCAAACGTGAAGATCGTAATTTGATAAGGTTCAGTCAGCTGGGACAGAATGTGCAGTTGTTTCAAGTTAACAAGAATACAGGCAAATTGTACACAGCACAAACCCTGGATGCTGAGGCACTGTGCATCCGTAACAAGGAATGTTCTCAAGTTGTAAAAGTTGCTGTGCGCCGTGCAAAAACGTTTATAAAAATATTAAGCATCCAAGTGATTGTTCAGGATGTCAATGATCATCAACCCGAATTCCCAGATGATCAGGTGAAGATAGAATTTTCCGAGGGAGATGGGATTGGCATGAAGAAATCTATCCCCAATGCGGTTGACAGAGATATTGGTATTTCCAATTCTAAAATAACATATCAACTAAAAAAAAACATAAATGACCCGTTTTCATTGAACATTTTAAGAAGTGTTGATGGCACGTCAAAGCTTAGCATTGTTTTAGAGGAAAGAATAGACCGTGAATTAAAAGATCTTTATGTAATTCAAGTGATTGCAAAAGATGAAGGCTCTCCTCCGAAACTCAGTGTACTTGACATTCATATTCTGGTCACAGATGTCAATGATAACATGCCAGTCTTTTCTCAGAAAATTTATAATGTTTCAATTAATTATGAACATGATGCAACAAGTCATGTGGCCATTCTGTCAGCCACAGATTTAGATTTGGGCAAAAATGGCAGAATTTCTTATCGGTTCAGTTCCATGACCTCTGACAATGATAAAATTTACTTTAAGCTTAACGAAATGACAGGCGAAATTTTCTTGCATAAGAAATTCACCTCAGGACAAAAGCCGACTTACAAATTATACGTTGAAGCGATGGATAGCGGCAGCCCTCCTTTGAGTTCTGTTGTAATGGTTCTGGTGAATGTCATCAACCAGCAGAATAATGCACCGATGATAAATGTGAATTTTTTTTCCGATTCAGCAGAGAAAACTGATGCCATTTCTGAGGACGCTGAAGTTGGCAGCTTCATTGCCTACGTAATGGTCACTGACCCTGATATTGGTCCGAACGGAGAGGTTAGTTGTAATCTCCACCATGATAAATTTCAACTTCAGAGTCTTGACACAAAGGAATACAAAATAATTGTAAAGAATCCATTAGACCAGGAGATTGAGAACCACCATGACATTACCATATGTTGTCAAGACAAAGGCTCTCCTCCTCTGTCCACTGAAAGCAAGTTCTCAATCCAAGTGATGGATGTCAATGATGTACAACCTCAATTTTCCCAGAAGTCATTCAGATTCTGGGTCAATGAGAACCAGAAATCCAAGTTTCCTATTGGCTCCATCAATGCTACTGACCCAGACCTGGGACCTGGTGGCAAGCTCACCTATTCACTAAAAACCAATAATAAACATTTCCTCCCTTTCCAAATCTCCGATGATGGATTCATTTCAACAGTTATGTCATTGGATCATGAATTCCAGGATATTTATAAATTTAAAGTTTTTGTAAAGGACAATGGAATCCCTTCTTTGAATAATACAGTAGATGTCAGCGTTGAAGTTCGAGATGCAAATGACAATGCTCCATATTTCACGTTCCCCAGCGTCAATCCTTATACCCTGGACTTTATTTATTATCCACATCACACGAACAACATCACCGTTCTGAAAGCATCTGACGGTGACAGCCAGGAGAACGCATTTCTCAAGTATGAAATAACTGCAGGCAATGATAAACAGTTGTTCACCATCAACCATTTCACTGGACTCTTGTCTTTCAGTCGAGTCGTTACTCAGCAGGATGCTGGATCATATGACTTAAAGTTTGTTGTCAAGGACAGTGGAACTCCCGTCTTATCCGCAAATGTTGATATAATTCTGAAATTGATGGTGAGCAACAAGACACTTGAGCCGCTGAGTACCAAGCACATGAAAAGCGAAAAGAGAATAAATTTGGTTTTAATGATTGTGATTGTTCTGGTGGCAGTGACAGTATCAGTGTCCATTACAGCAGCCATGTCAATATGCATCATTCGGTGTAAAGACCGGAGACATACCTCCCACCAAGATGGAGTGATGGATGCCCCTTGTGTTTGTGCTGCTGATCAGGGTCATTACATGTGCCCATCACAACAATCAAACAATTGGACTGACGTGTCGGTCGCTGGAAATGCTGATTCTGATTTATCAAGAGTTCCACCTAGAAGATCAAGAAGAGGACAATATTCAGATGGGGAGCATGATCAGAAAATTACTGATTGTGCATTTCAGGTGAGTTCATGACTTTATTTATTTAGATGTTACTGTGACAGTGATAGTGAGCTTTGATTTACCTTTTGCATGTCAGGGAGTGCATTAATAAGTCCGCAGCTTAAAATTAGTAGTTATTTGCTGAATTTGGTTCTGAAATTTTTGCTGTATAATGTTTGATCTATGCAGTTAAATGTTTTGAGAAGGAAGCAGACTATATTGAAAAATAAATATCTTTTGAGTAAAATAAAAGCTTTTTTTTATCATTAAGCTGGAGACTTATTGATGTATTTGCAAATATCTCTACAATGGAATAAAACAGATTGAAAAAAAAAAGAAAAAAAGAAGACTGAAAATAGATTGCAGAAAAAATCAAAATCATGATGAGCAAATGGGTCTGATCATATTTTTTGTTCGATGATTCTTTTGTTCGATGGTTCATTCAATGCATAACAGATAAAATTGTTGTTAACTTATTTTCTTGTTTTTTGTATGCTGTCATTTGAGCAATATTATTCCTTCTGCAATTTATATTAACATTAATACTACTACTTTTTATAATATTATTACCAGTATTAATCATCATATCAGTCATATTATAATAATAGTAATAATAATAATAATATAAATGTACTAAAAATTATATGATTACAATAGTAGACTATATCAGTAGCTATATATAGTGAACACAATATATACCTGGGGGCTTGCTTCAGGAATTGCTAGCCTGCCACCCAATTCCCTGTCTTTCAGTAGTGTATTTTCTTTTACAATAAACCTCTCTTCTTTCATCTATGTGCATGTTGCTGTTCCTTCACTCAAGTACCACCTTTGTCTGTTTGTAACCTCTTTAATGATACAACAAATAGCTATTGTTCTTTTTATAAAAGTGTCCCTAATTTTATGAGTTACTCTATCACAAGAGCATTTAATTTTTTTTCATCATTTTATTTAAATAGATATATTCTCTGTTCATTATATAGTAACATTGTGCAGACTTTATGTCATAATCTTTAATTTATATAACAAGATATAGATTTTTATGGAGTCAGTTACTGCTTCCGTTGTAATGAAAATACTTCAGTCATTGAACTGCTGTTGATTGTAGAAACATTGTTCATGATCAATTTCATTTATCAAATGTTACTTGGCATTCCAATTGAAATGTTCTTATAGAAAAAAGAAATGAAATTTAATAAGAGTTTCTTGATCTTGTTATATATTTGTAATATTCACAACATGGGATCCTAACTTCTAAAAGATATGTCAGAAGATTTTTGAAAATTCCCAAGAGCAATTAAAAAAAAAAGACAAGACAAATATAGATAATATACAATTGGTTTGATAGACAATAAGAAAAATGATATTTTTTAAAATACCATTTTACAGAACTGCATTTTGATTTGATATTTTCGCTGTGACTGAAGTGCATTGACAGAGAAGGAGATAATGTTAAAAAATAAATATTTATTATGTAAAGTATTTTAGGAAAATCTATGACAAAGTTGTAATGCATTTCATACTTTAGGGTTAAAGTGATGTTGATGTGATTACACATGTGCATGAAGGAGATGTGACACTGAAAATTAAAATTTTTTTTTGCATTTTGGGTATATAATCTAGCTCATTTCATTTAGTTTCTTTTTGCTTTGTTTAGGGTTTTATCACTTTTGTTATTAAATATCTCACATTGTGATAATAGATCTACCAAGAAAGGTGAAATGTTGTAAGATCCTGGACATAATTTTACTGTGGATGATCTAGTGATTAAAGCACTTTCTATTCATAATGTAAAGTGTATAATTTTGTCCTTGTTAGGTTATGGGTTTATTGATATAACTGTATATGTATAGACATAAATATGGCTTTATGAAGAGACATATTGATTAATTGAAAAATAAATTTAAAAAAAAACAAAAAAAAACATCTGTTCCATTTTTAGAGATTGTTTGAAAAACAAAAACAAAAAGTGAACCCTTTTAATTATTATTAATGAGTGTTATAAAAAGCTGTATTTGGATTATATTCTTTTATAGACTTTTTTCATTATTCTCATTCACAGTTTGCTGTTTTTTCTAACAAAGATGTATATCACGATGTTTGACCAAATTCCTAAGTTCCTCCCTTTTACTAATATTTGCTTTTTCTCTCTTGTCAACCAGATCTTGTACTGTTTAACCCCAAAGTTCTCAGTGATCAAAGAAGATGGAATTATATATCTTCTCACTTATGGCATGTTTCTACAAATCTAAGTAATCTGGCTAAAGCTTTTTGTTTAGTTTTCACTTATCCTTCCTTTGGTTCAATAATGTTGTTTCTTGAATATCCATTATCATGTTACATGATAAAGGATTATGAAAGATTAGATACTCTCAAGTCATGGGTAACAGATAATGTGGAATATTAAACACTATTTTCTTGATTATACACTTTGTTTAAATAACTGTAATAATTTTTTTTATTTAGAAAGAAAATTTTATTACAGAACATATAGAGAAATTAATATTATATTATATATTGTTATATATATAGGTATATTATTATATATTATATTATATATAAGTAATTCATTATTCATATTGTATTATTAAATGCATTATTAAGAGGATGTTTCTCTGATCACTTTAATCTTAAACTGTTTAAGTTTAACTGTTATCTTCCTCACATATCTTCATATCCTTGCCCATTACTCTTTAACCCTCTATCTTGATTGGCTCTCGGGCCTTAAACAGGGTGAACATAATTGTCAAAAATATAATAATATTGAATTATTAATACATAAAACAAATATAACAGTGGCATGAAGTAGAGTGATTACATCCCCAAAGAAGCTTTATTCCTTGTTTCCCGTTTAGGCTTGGGTTTCCAGTTCCCTATAAAGTTTTTTTTTACTTTTCTTTCATTTCTGGTGGTACTTTGCATTTTGATTGCATTGTCACCTTGCTTTGAATGGTACCTCTTATTCTGTAACTCTGTACCTTGAGTGGTTCCTGGGCCTTATATAAGGTGAACATCAGTGTAAAAAAAATTGCTGGGTCTAGTACTAGAGAAATTGGTTCATTGTGTCTTGCCAGGCAATTTTTTTCATCAGAATCCATTTTGCACCTCTCTATCTATCATATATATATATATATATATATATATATATATATATATGTATGTATGTATGTATATATATATAATATAAAAGGCTAAAATGCTAATATTTCATGGTTATAATTTATTACATTGGAATCGGAATCATAATCCAATTTGTCAGACCTAAAAATTCAATTTTGAATTTGTAGGTCTGATAAATTGGACCGTGATTATGATTCCAATGTAATAAATTATAAGCATGGAATATTAGTGCTTGAGCCTTTTATATTATATTCTTACTCTGTCCTGGACATTGAACTATATCTGGATTCTATCCTTTGGAAATATATCTATATATATATATATATATATATATATATATATATATAATTATATATATATATATATATATATATATATATATATATATTGATAATATATATATATATATATATATATATATATATATATATATATATATTGATATATATATAATATATTAGTGGTCAATTATATATATATATATATATATATATATATATATTTGTCCATGCATTGAATATATATATATATGCTTATTTGTCCATGCATTGAATATTGCTGCCATATCTGGTCTGGTGCTCCTTCTATAAATCTGCAAATTCTTAACAAAATCCAAAGAAGGATCTGTAATGTAATCAACTCTTGCCTGGCATCTTGACTTTGGTCTCTTTCCTACCATTGAGATTTGGCTTCACTCTGTCTTTTTATACAAATATTTTCAACAATTGTTCTGATCAGCCTTCCTCCTTATTGTCTCGCTGCATGAATTTAAGCATGCTGCTAGATTTGCAACTGGGTCTCACCATTTTATTATTGAACTATCTAAATGTAACTGTATGTTCTATGCTAATATTTTCTTTTCTTGCACTTCTTGTCTCTAGAACTCTCTTCTGATTTCATTCTTCCCTGCCACCTACAATCTTCAAAAATTTAAATACAACACTAATTGCCATCTTCTGTCTCCCTGAACTCTGTTCTTTTATTGCCCTTTTTTTCCTCACTAAAGTCTCCTTATTCTCTCTTACACCCAGTAACCCCTTGTGTCATAGTGGCATTATCACCTTGCGTAGAGGGAAATGATTAAAAAAAAAATATCACATAAGGTTGTTGTCATGCTGCAATATTTATTGACTTATTTATATTTATATATCTATATTTATGAATATATCTATAATATTCTAATATATCTCAACCATGAAAATAGTTTTACTTGGTATTTTTTTATTTTTTATTTTTTGGTGATAATTATGAAAAATAAAATATTAACATTATAAAGAAGTCATCATCTAATGTAATTTACAAGAACAAATTCTGGAATTTCTGCAATTTAAAATAATATATATATATATATATTTTATTTTAAATTGTATATATATATATATATATATATATATAAGGAAAAGTTTATCTTGAAACAAATTTAATCATAGTAGCAGAACTCAAGAGCGAAAAAAGTGTCTTAAACACATTTACATGCAACAATATGGGATTAGATTTGGAAGCATAAGAAACTGGTTAGTCCATGATGAAATGTTCTTCATCAATGACTGTATTCTAGTATGACTAATTTAAACCAACTTTCTTTTATAGTCATTATTATGAAAATATCATTTAGATAGATAAAAACACACTTAGATAGATAGAAGCACGCTTAAGATAGAATGATAGCAATAAAGAGAAACAAAATTGAGATAGAAAGTGAGAGATAAATAATATTGATATATATATATATATATATATATATATATATATATATATATATATATAAACAAATAAACAAAAAATGAAAGAGATAAACAAAAATAGATAAAAAACATGCTGAGGTCGATAGAGAGAAACAAACCAATTAAATATTTACATGAGACAATATGGGATTACATTCGGAAGCAAGAGAAACTGGTTAAGCCTTGATAAAACGGTCCTCATCAATGACTGTATTCTAGTATCACTAATTTAAACCAACATTCTTTTGTTGTCATTATTATCTTTAAAGAGACAGTAGTTTGATGTAAGGAGTAAGTGCTCATATAAATAATATTTTCTTACATAAACAAATTGTTACAATATTAAAAGGTCTGTCAAACATCTGGAAGAAAAAAAAATATTTTTCTGTATTATCAAATTTCCTTTTTTTAATATATATCCTGCATTATCAAAGCTTTTATTTCTTCGAACATTTTTTTGATTTTTGCTGAAAATAACATTCTTATTGCTGGAATTTGCTGCCTTGCAAAACAGCATTATTAAATGTAACTAAATAACCACTTTGTATATATATATTGTCTCTTTTTTAATTTAATTTATATATATATATATATATATATATATATATATATATATATTCATTCAATATTATCAACTATAAACACAGCCACAATGTGCTGACTAAGTTTAGAAAAAAAAAATTCTATTACACTAGATACATACATAAACAATCCATACATTCAGTCAAAAATGAAAATAAAATTCATCCTTGACAATGGCTAAGAGTATAGTCGAAAGCACTTGGACTTACAAAACATTCAGACAATTTCTATATAATTTACGTCCAGAAAAGAAGAAAATTATAAGAACACATGGAAAATTAAATAAAAACTTAACCGCACTACCATGTCTGTTGTTTTTACTGAAACTTGTATAAAAGAGGGTTGCTATATATGTGTATATATATATATATATATATATATATATATGTATGTATGTAAATTAATGTCTACACTCATGCATTCACACACTATTCCATAACAAAATGTATATAATTGTATATAATTAATAAATCTGCAACTTGATATATATAGCTAAATGAATCTTGATCTGATATTTCCACTATATAATGTTTTTCTGTGTGATTAATATTTACTGCTGGCTGAAGTGCACTGAAAAAGAAGTGTATTATGTTTAAAATATTTGTTGTGTAAAATAAATTCCTATTTTTATAATTTGGCTATGAGCTCATTTTCCTAAGAATATATATATATATATAGGAAATAGATTAAATCCGACAGATTTTTTTAATTTATTTGTTTTTAACATTATTTTTTAAATGGATATTCATATTTGAGTAGATACTCTGTTTAAATATATATATATATAAGCTAAATGAAATATGGAAAAGGAATGTTGATATCTACACTAATACACAAGTATTTGATTTATATGTTTTACATTACATAGGCACTCATATATATAAATATATATATATATATATATATATTTACCATTGGAGCAAAAAATAAGGGTTGCTTGCAGGGATCATATTGATCCTTAATTATAATAAAGATCAATATGATCCCTCGAAGCAATCTTCTTTGTCATTCTCTGAATTCATATCTCATGTGCACATATTTCCTTAAATCCATACAATTGTATGTATGTGTTCTTGTGAATAAATGAATAAGTAAGTAAGTAAATAAATAATAATAATAATAATAAAGCAAATGCATAGAATGTTTATTTATTTCTATTTAGAGTTTCACAGATTCTGAAATTCACTTGTCAGAAAACAAAAATGCTTTTAATTTTAAAATTTGTATTCATGTTAAAATAAAAAAGGTATAGTGGTTGACTGTTTTTATTGTAACATAAGCTTTATATATATATATATATATATTACTCTGTTCATCTCTCTCCCTCTCTCTCTATATATATAGGATTAATACAAATAAAATTTGTGACTTAGCTGATTAGTATTATATTCAGCAACTCAAATCTAGAGTTTTGCAGATGAACTATTTTTGTAATTGTTCAGTCCACTCTTCAGGAGGTTTTCAGCAATTGACTGCTGTTTTTCTCATTTTCATAAAATTATCTTTATACTTAGTTTGATGTAATTATGTGCTAACTAGGATGCTCTTATTTTTGCTGTTAGGTTGAATTTCTTCCTCTTTTGTACGTTAACATGTGTGCTTTGTATGTGCATATGTACATAATCCCAATCTGTCTATCTATCTGTATATATATATATATACACACACACACTTGTCTGTACATCTATCTATCTCAGTCTGTTCATCTATTTCTATCTCTGCTTATCGGTCTATCACTCTATCTCTCTCTCTCTCTCTCTCTATATATATATATATATATATATATATATATATGTTGAAAATGATGATCATTTCAAAATAAAAAATGTATAGTGGTTGACTGCTTTTAGTGTAACATAAGCTTTATGATATATATATATATCAGTCTGTTCATCTCTCTCTCTCTCTGCTTATCTATCAATCTCTCTCTCTCTCTGCTTATCTATCAATCTCTCTCTCTCTCTCTGCTTATCTATCAATCTCTCTCTCTCTCTCTCTCTATCTATATATATATATATAGTGAGTGATATATATATATATATATATATATATATATATATATATATATATATATATATATATATATGTTGAATATCATCACTCATGGCTTCATTCTTCCTTTTGATAATGCATTTAAGAAGCACTGAACTGCTAAAAGTGTAAAGTAGTGAATTATATGATCTTCCCCTCTCCATTGGATGGCTAAGTGTCTAAGAAGGCTTCCAGCTTATCAGGTGATGTGAAGACTCAGGACACAAGGCAGGGTTTCTTATTTATTTTGCTGAGTGTTTAAAATTTGATTTCCATTAATATTAATGCATGCATCAATTATCCCTTGCAAAAATGATTTGCAAAGGTTTTAAAGGATGATTGATAATATTATATTAGCTGAAATATTTACTGTGGATAATGAAAAGTGAAATAAAGAAGAAAATATCTGAAAGAGAACATATTTAGCATGATATGGGCAGAGAGTGTTTAGAATTAACACTTAGCATCCTGTTTTTATTGCTTTCTTTCTGTATTTATGTTATTTTTGTTTAACATATTTTTTTATATTGCTCTTTCTCTTGTTTTCTAACTTTCCTTTTTGCCTAGACAGATATGAATGTTCCAAAATGGATTTCTAGCTTGGGAAAAAGACAGAGAAAACAGCAATAAAAGATAGAAACTAAACTAATTGTGAATTATAGTGACAGAACATTTAAAATAAAAACAGAAGTCAAGATTAATAAAAGCAGAAAATAAAAATATAATGGAAAAATAGATAGCTAGATAGATAATGACTGACACAGAGATAAATATAAACAGGTTTGAGATAGATAAACAAAATAAACAAGATGGATAGAAACACACTGAGATAGAGAGAGAGAGAGAGATAAACAAAATTGAAAGAAAGAGATAGAAACAAAATCTGGATAAATAGATAGATAGAAACACACTAAGATAGATAAATAGATAGAAACACATATAGAGAGAGATAAACAAAGTTGAAAGAGAGAAATAGAAACAGAATAGAGATAGGCAGACAGAAACACATTTAGATAGAGAAAGAGTGAGAAGGAAACGAAATGGAGATAGATACATATATATTGAGATAGATATATAGATAAAGGGAGAGATAAACAAAACTGAGAAACATATAAATAGATGCAAATTAGAAAGAAAGATAAACAAACTGAGATAGA